GCAAATTCATAAGAATAAGAGCCCAGAACAAAGGAGACAGGTGGACTCCGAGTGGTGATGGAGCCCAGATAGCGGGTAGAGCTTTGGCCGAGGAATCAGCTACTCATTCCAGCCCTGGTTCTAACTTCCCATGGTGCGGCCACGGCAAACCCTTTCTAAGCCTCAGTTTCTACACCAGTAAAATAGAGTGTCTTCTGACTTGCTTTAGCTGGGGGCCCTTTCTCCAAACAAATTTAATGTGACAGCCATAGTTAGAAGTATGGCTGATTTGGTTGAACTTGGGGTGTGAAACCAAGACCCTGACCTGTTCAGCTTTTCCTGACTCCACCATCTCAGGGCTTTTCAGAGTACAGTTTGAAACACTGTATTAGGGGATCATTGATGTCAATTCCAGTCTTAGCATTCTACACAAGCTGAGAAGAAAGCCCTACCTGTATTTTCATGTAGACATTTTGACAATGAAAGTTTACTCACATCAAAAAACCAGAGGAGCCTCCAGCCTTTGGATTGCACTTCTGGGTGTGCCCTGTTCTGTTTCTGGGCTCTTTAAACCTGCAGGGCTCATGGAATTAGCAGAAGCATCAGGAGAATTTAGTCAGCCTTGCCATGGCCAGTACAATTATACAGTGAAATGAGGCATGCTGTCAGGATTTTAATATGAAGCAGGCACCCCTGGGAAACACTGAGAAGTGACCAGGCATTGTCTACACATGGCCAAGAGCCAGTGGCAGCCAGCTGGGCCTTCCTTTCAGATAAATATGACAGTTCCAGACCTGTAAATATTCCAGGACTGGAAGAGAATGAATTCTACTGGTATTCAAAACAACAACAAGGTCCTTGTCATCTTTATTAGAATTGTTATCCTCTTGATTACTGTGGCTGTTATTCAATTGTTATGGATCTTCAAGGACATAACAGCCTTCTCTTAAAACACAGGTGGCAGGGAGGCAGCAGGAACTGCAGAAAGGGAAGGAACTTCAGGGTCTGACAGATCCAAGATGGAACTCTGCAGGTCTACCTCTTACTAGCTGTGTGGTTTCGGTCTGTTTTTTTTTGTTTTTTTTGTTTTTGTGGTACGCGGGCCTCTCACTGTTGCGGCCTCTCCCGTTGCGGAGCACTGGCTCCGGACGCGCAGACTCAGCGGCCATGGCTCACGGGCCCAGCCGCTCCACGGCATGTGGGATCTTCCCGGACTGGGGCACGAACCCGTGTCCCCTGCATCGACAGGAGGACTCTCAACTACTGCGCCACCAGGGGAGCCCCACGGTCTGTTTTTTAAAACTTGTCTGAGCTTCAAGTTTCTTAGTTCTACAATGGAAATACAGTGCCAGTAGAGCTGTAGTGAGCTCCATCGATTGAACAAAGCTTGTACAGCCTAAAAGTTTTGAGTTATGCTTTATTTGGGGACCTTACTGAGGACTATAGCCCAAGAGACAGCCTCTCAGATAGCTCTGAGGAACTCTTCCAAAGAGGTAAGGGAGGAACTAGAGTATATAGAAGTTTTTTTGCTGAAAAAACAAACAAAACACGTAAAAAACAAAAAATAAGCCATGTAGTCAGACATCAAGAAATTACTGCTAACCACAAAAATGCCAGGCACATTCTCCTTCTCCTCCTGGGATGCTCACACTTGGAATCCAGAGTAGGGAGGAAGCCCAGCAGCCTCCCAGAGAAGCCATGGGTAGGAGTTCCAGCCAACAGCCAGTACCAACTTCCAGTCAGGATGCGTCTTCAGATGGTCCTGGTACCCAGTCAGGTCACTTCCGGTTTTCAGGCTACCCCAGCTGATACCATGTAACACAAACTGTCTCAGAGAAACCTTGCTCAGACTGTAGATTTGTAAGGAAAATAAATGTTTTCAGCCACTTAGTTTGGGGTGGTTTTTTTTATGTGGAGCCTGAATCCCTCTTCCCAAGCCGGTGTATCCATCTTCCAGCTACTGTGAGTGTGGGCTGCTAAGATCTTGCGGCCACGCCCTTCCACATAGACTTGCCCTGGGCTGGCTGGGGTCACAGGGGAGGTTATGTCCACCACCCTGCAGCCAATGACTGATTGTCACAAAAGGTGGTCCCCTTGCCTCAAGGCAGCATTGGTTCTGGTACAATTCACACTCCGGTGGTCCCTGTGGGACTAGGCTAAGGCTAGATCCCCGGTGAGGCCACATCCTAGGCTAGCTCTTTCCCTGCCCCATCTCCTTCTCTCCTCACCTTTCTCCTGAGAGCACCCTCAATACTTCACATGTGTTAGAATCCCTGTCTCAAGCTCTATAACTAGGTACCTGACCAAGAACAGGCACTAATGGATGTTTTAAGTAGTGTAGGGGAGAAATCTTTCCATGCCATCTGCTGGTGCCTCCACTACCCAGAGATGTTAATATTTTGGTGTACGTGAAATTATCTAATACTAATGATAGGGCATTTAGTACATTCCCTGGCAGACAGTAAGCCCTCAATAAATGCTAGCCGTTATTATCATATCTCCCAATGCTTTTTTATATATTTGGTAATCACGTTTTTATTGAGCACATATTATGTGTCAGGCACGATTCTAACAACATATTTCATGTATAACACACTTAGTCACACAGCAGTCCTATCTAGTGGACATTACCATGAAAAACGAGGCAACTGAGGCCCAGAGAAGTTTAATAACTGATCCAAGGATACACAGCAAATAAGCGACAGAGTTAGATGAGTTATATATGTCTACATTATATTTTAATCATCATTTCAATGATTACTTCTTTGTGGCAGATTGCTTCAGTGTGAGGCTGGATACTTTGCTGCATTTTAAAGGACTCAAGTATGCATAGTAATTCACTCCAGCTGTGACTGTGCCCTCCCTGTCCTGGGAAGTACTCTGCTCGTAATTTCAGATGGGTCTCTCTTCTTGGAATGGCCTCACCTCTTCTCTAATTATCCAGATTCTAACCTCCCTTTAAGAGCCACATCAAACCTTATCTCCCCATGTAGTTTTTCCTGATCTCTCACTGTTCTTCAGTTACGAACTCCTACAGCTTTTATTGTATGTCATTTCTGCCCCTAACAATTTCCTGCCACCACCGGCCCTGACACATTTCCTTTCAATAGAGGTTATGCTTACAGATGGGTCTGTTTCCATCAGCTAGACTGCAAGCCTTTTAAGGACAGAATCGAGACTTCTTTGCTGTTTCTCCAGTATCTCCTGTAGTGCCTGGTACAAAGGAGATTCTTCACAAAAATTTGTTGATTGGATGAATGAATCAACAAACTATTTCATGTGTGTGTGTATGTTTCTTGTTTTTTTGTCTGGATTGTAAGGCCCTTAAGACCCGGACCCTGTTTTCAGTTTCTTTTAAGACCCTCATGTTTAGCAAATGGTAGGACCAGGACAGAAATATTCATGGAACTGAACCAGAATAGTCTGTCCTAAAGATGGGTCACACTGTGGTCTTGCTCTGGGAAAAGGACAGCTCTCTATCAAAGGGAAGCAGTCCCATGTGAAATCTTACATGGAAATAAGAGAAATTTTTAATCTCTGAGTTTGGTGTGTGGCCGGCCCATGTTGCGTGCTGTTTCCATAACTCTGCATGTGACCGAATGTCCTTGACTTGACCTTGTGGGAATATGTAAACTGTGGGATTCAAGGGGGGGATGTTTGTGGGAGGAGGGGACCATGTGATGTGGTGCAAACTTTGTTTGTAATTCCCTGACTCAGGAGTGACTTCTGGGCAGTAGCAAGAGGTGACCCCACGAAGAGCCTTGCCGGCCTCTTCAAAGACAAGACGTTTTACGGAGAAGTCCCCCTGCCAGCCTGACCGGAAGTGGAGGACAAAGGGGCAGCTGACTGCAGGTCTCATCCTGACCAGCACCAGCTTTTCTAGGCTCAGTTTTAGCATGACGTTTCTCCTTCAGGAGGGGAAAACCTGAGCTCAAGGAATACTGCTGTGCCTCTTCGTCCTGCAAGACCAGATTCACGCATCTCTAAATAAAAACTAATTTTTAAAATGCATCAAAGAAAAAAAAAATTGGGCTTCCCTGGTGGCGCAGTGGTTGAGAGTCCACCTGCCGATGCAGGGGACACGGCTTTGTGTCCCGGTCTGGGAAGATCCCACATGCCGCGGAGCGGCTGGGCCCGTGAGCCATGGTCGCTGAGCCTGCGCATCCGGAGCCTGTGCTCCGCATCAGGAGAGGCCACAACAGTGAGCGGCCCGCGTACCGCAAAAAAAAAAAAAAGGTATCAAAGAGCTGGCAAGTCAAAGTACCCCAGTGCACACTGTTCCAACATGGACCATCTCACCTTCCGCACTTTCCAAGTTCATCTATTTTGCAAGCATACATGATCACAGGATCAATGTTGGGCCTTTTTCAAAGACATATAAATTTATCTTTAAAGAATAGGGAAGAGGCCGTGAAGTACAGGGGGTTAGGAAAGTTCATTATGCTCTGGAGAATGTTTCAACCTTGATCTTAAAGCAGTGCCCAGAAAGCTTCCCATTCAACCTCAAGGTCACTCGCTGTGCCGCGCTGCTTTAGGCCAGAGAGGATGAGGGCTCCTTGGATCGGGGTCAGGGTTGGGATAGGGTAGGGAGAAATTCTGGGCATTCACAGCTGTAGGAAGTGTTTGTTTTCTCTTCATTTTGTTTTGCTTAAGAAGAGAAAAGAAGTTCACGTCTCTTTGAAGCCCCATGGGGCTGTTTTCACTGTGAAGGCACAGAGAAAGCCCATGATTGTTCCTGGAATGCTGGTCTCACCATTTATTGTCCTTGGATTTAATGCCTGCTTTGCATTTGGAATAAAGATTCATTCATTTCTGTGCCAAGAAATAAAGAATTCTATTGTCTCCCTGCCCAAATTGTTTCAAGACCATCTTTTTTTTTTTTTTTTCCTGAGGCTGACAGGGCCAGATAACATCTTGCTTGGCCCCATGATCTGGTCTCCAAAGGAGATGTTGTGCCCTTTTTGGTCTGAGCTTTGCTGCCACAATCATGTTACACAGAGCAGATCTGTCCCCTCGGTACCAGGAACCTTGCCCCTTTCACGAGGATCCTTAACAAGCTCTGCGGATTGCCAAACCAGACTTCCACTAATTCTCCACCATAAGGACAGCTGTGTCACTTGAATTAGCAGGTGATGATGAGCCTTGGGTGGCCCCTAATTCGATCCATGGGGAGAAATGAGTGTAGCGGATTTGCATGCTGTAACACGCTCCATCCCAGAATATTCTTTGATGACTCACCAAAATAAAGGCCAATTTAATTAAAACGAACACAGAAGTGTGGAAAAATAAAGGGCAAAAGAAGTTCCAAGGAAGCTGGTTATCTCTTCGGAGGAAAACTTCCTCTAGGGGCTGTAGCCAAAACAGTTTTTAACAGAGTGCTCTTAGGTAGTTTCATTCCAAGCATCATGACAAAGGTCATGTTGCCTCTTCCGCATCTGCTCTCCTAAGCCTTCCTCCCTCCCCTCAAGCCTCCTCTGCAGCAAACCTCCTGGCCTCTAGCCTGGGGGAGAAGATGAAGCCACCTGGAACCCTACACTTGGCTCTTTTCCTCCGGTTTCAGACAAAGGCAGCCTCTCTCCAATTTACTGCTGGTGCCTCCTGTTGTGCTGTTCATCCAAATGTATCCTCCAGGAGCTGGTTCCAAGGTATGTCTGCTCTGCGCTGTAGTGTCCTTTTCTTAGTCACCTGGCTCCATTTCCATATCCTATGAAGATGCTCAAGTCTCTCTCATCTTTTAAAAACACCCTCTCTTAACCTGTCTTTCTCCCCATCTTCCCTGATAGCTTCCCTTTCTCTCCCCTTCCCAGATAAGATCTTTCAAAGGATGCTTTATATTTAACACCTCCACTTCTATCCACACTTTACCTGCTTCACTCTTCACGACTACGGTATCCTCTTTAAACCCTCAAACTCCCTGACAACAAGCTTCCCACTTCCAGCCCCCAAGGCCACGAAAACAATGGGAAGAAGACACTAAGGACCTAATTGTCAGAGGCAAGGAGCTCATTTTACCCTCAGCTTGTTTGATTTTATGTAGTGGTTGTCTCCATGGTCACGCCTTTCTTCTGGAAATTCTACTGTCCATTTCTTTTCTTTTTTTTTTTTTTTTTGCGGTACGCAGGCCTCTCACTGTTGTGGCCTCTCCCGTTGCAGAGCACAGGTTCCAGACGCGCAGGCTCCGCGGCCATGGCACGGCATGTGGGATCTTCCTGGACCGGGGCACGAACCCCTGTCTCCTGCATCGGCAGGTGGACTCTCAACCACTACGCCACCAGGGAAGCCCTCTACTGTCCATTTCTAAGACACCACCACCTCCTAATTCTCCTTTTCCCTCTCTGGTGATTCCTTTCCACATCAACCCTCAACTGTTGAAGCTCTTCAGGATCCCTGGATCTTATCCCTTCTTAGTCTCTGCTGGTAATTTCTCCCATGTCCATGGTTCACCTCCTACCTGCGTACTGATGACCCCTATGTTTGTATCTCTACCCCACGTTTTGCCCTAAGTTCCAACTGCTTCCTTCAAGATCTCTTCTCCTGGAATACCATACAGGCAGCTCAAACTCTACATACTCAAAATTGCACTCATCTTCCCTGTAAAACCTGTACCCTGTACCCCTCTTCCTCCTGTACCCCAATCCAGGAAAGAGCACCACCATTCATCTACTCACCTGAGTCAGAAACCTGGGCGCACATCCTGGCTTTCTCTCTTTCTCTCATCTTCTATGGCTAGTCGGTTACCAAATCTTGTAGACTTGACCTCCACAGCACCTCTGCTATGTATCCACTGCCCTCCTTTTCCGCCGTCCTTGACTTTTCCCTGGATTATTAAAATGCTCTTCTTGCCTCCCGTTTTTTTCGTCTGCAGTCTACCTCCTACAAAGCATCTGGGGTGAACTTCCTTCAGTGGCTCTCTATTGCTTTTAATATGAGGCCCATACTCTTTAGTGGGACCAAGAAATCATGCAGCCCCCGCCTATCACTCAGTTCTCTAGTCTCTCATCTAAACCTCTTGTACTCCACTCCCCACAGAGACAGGCTAAACATGCATTCTCGGGCTTTCCTGGTGGCACAGTGGTTAAGAATCCGCCTGTCAATGCAGGGGACATGGGTCCAAGCCCTGGTCCTGATGGATCCCACATGCTGCGGGGCAACTAAGCCCGTGCACTGCAACTACTGAGCCTGCGCTCTAGAGCCCGTGCTCCGCAACAAGAGAAGCACCTCAACGAAGAGTAGCCCCTGCTCTCCACGAATAGAGAAAACCCGTGCACAGCAAGGAAGACCCAATGCAACCAAAAATAAATAAATTAAATAAATAAAATTTAAAAAAAAACATGCACTCTCTTTTCACTTTGCCCAGAATTATGCTGTCCCTTTTCTGACTTTTCCAACTTGCTATTGGTCCATTTCCCTCCACCCTAAACCCACTGCAGTGACACATTATCTACATATCTGTTTTAGACCCAATTCCAGAGTTATTTCACCTCTAATCCCTAGGAGACTTTTCCTGAATACTAACCCATCCCTTACCTCCAGGTGCCACCAACGGTACCTTCCTTTGAGTTTCACGGCACTCTGTACACTCTTTCACATGGACTCATAGCCCTTTATTACCAGCATTGCTCATTTTTGTTTCAGCATTTATCACAGTGCCAAAACTGAATAAATGTTTCTCTGAGTGAGTGAATAAATGAATGAAGGAACGAATGAATGAATAGACTCTCAACCATTTCCAGTTGGACAGGTGTAACTTACAAGTCTCAAATATTAACCACTGAAGGGCTTCGCCTGAGAGGATGTATGCTATGAGAAAGGAGTTAAAGCCATTTGGCTTACCCAATATTTTTAATAATCAAGAGTATGAATTTTCTCCTCCTTAGCATTTGTGGAGTGTTTACTGAGTGTTAGCTAGCACAAAACATTCCCTGCTGTTAGTCAAACATTAAAATGGCTAAGCGCTTTTAATGCACTTTAATATTTTGAAGATAAAATTACAGTTTTGGGTCAGGGAACACTTTTGCAATTTGGATTTATGACTTTTGCAAATGGATTTGTATTTGACTGTCATGTACTAGCAACACAACTAATTTGAATGTGTGTTCTGCTATTTTATTTTTCATAATCACAGGCTCACTGAAAGCCTGTGAGGCTGTGAGGAATGCATCTTCAGGTTCATCCATGTGAAATATTTGCCTAAAGGTGGCAGCAGAAAGACACATCATACCTGCAACTACGTACTGAGCAT